TTTGTCGTTGTGTTTTCTGACTTGTCATTTTGTTTTCGAATTTGTCATTGTGTTTTCTGACTTGTTATAATGTTTTCTGAATTGTTGTTGTGCTTTCTGAATTGTTATTTTGTTTTTTAGACTTGCATTTGCATTTGTAATTTGTTATTTTGTTTTCAGAATTGTGATTTGTTTTGCACTTCTCGGCCACCGTACCCACGTGCTCCATGTTCTTCCTGTGACCTAGTTTCTCCCTCATGTTGATTGTGTTCAGTGATTTCAGGCGTGTTCCATTGATTTCCTTTTTTAGTTCTTAGTATTTGAGCACAGTGTTTTCCTTTGTCCTGTGTCTAGTGTTAAACGTCTATTCCCCTGCTACGTGTGTGTGTCTCTTTATAATTAAAGATTGTTCTTTGTAAATGTCTTTCTCCAGTTCTACGTGTGTGCTCCCTGCTATTTTGGATTATTAAAGACTGTTGATGGTAACTCTCCTGCGTTCTCCTTCGTCACCTTACTCCGACACAGTAGAAGTGTGACAATATAATTCAATAATAATTATAGGTGCTAAATATTATATTATATTTTACATTGACTTAAGCTAAAATATCTAGCTTTAAAAAAAAGTGTTACGGTAACATGAAATCCATAACATAATTTACCTGATCCTGATGCTGCTTTTAATAGGTTCAGAATGTTCAAGCTCCAGTTTTCTTTGTGAAAAAATCTTTTTGATGGTGTTTGCATCCTGGAAATTCATATATATGAATATAAATATAAGTCTAAGATATAAATATTTATATAAATTATAAAAAATAAATAGAATGTCAGTGACACATTACTTTAAATACTTGTGATCCGGGTTCATTGTAGGTTTTGGCATTTTTGACTAACAAGTCAATGTCTTTAGCCATATGGTTTACACTTTTATAGTAGCCCATCTACGGACAAAAGGAAACAAGCTTCAGTGTAAATTATAATAAATAATAAATGGCAATATTGTACAGTATATGCTGTAATAGAACATGATCATAATAACAAGATACCTGTATTCGTTGTGCAACGGTCTTCAGATCTATTGGTTCTTTAATAATAGCATAATAATCTGGATATTGCTGAAAAATAATGTTTAAATTAATAATAATAATAATAACAATATGATATGTTTGTGCATGTGCTGAACTACCACTTTAGAGGGAAGTCTCTGGAAAAGTTCACTAATGAGACGCCCATGTTCTGTGCACGTCAACACAGCATCCAGAAGCTGCCCAAGCACTTCCTTAAGGCTCGAGATAAACTGTAAAAACGAAACAAACCAGAATGATTTGTCTGGACACATCTAAAACACATTAGTACAGTTCCAAAGCATGTCTGATGGCCAGTCATGAGGTGTAGGAAAATACTGAGACAGACAAGATCTGGGGCTTCTGACCTCCTCCTCTGTGGCCCCTCCAGGGTTTTCCTGTGAGTCGTCATCGTCATCATCTTCATCATAGTCCCCTCGCTGCACAAACTCATTTTTGGTGCGAATATACAGATCCCACAGTTTACAAGCCGCTCTGAACTCCGGAGTCTCAGGCTGCGCAGAAAAAAAAAGTTTAAGTGTATTTTTTTTATATAAGTAACATCAATAGCAGGTCACACTTTATTTCAACTTTCAAGGTCCATTAGTAATAAACAGCCATTTAGTTAATAATAGGCATGCTAATAAGCAACTAGTTAATAGTGAGAATTGGTCCATATAGTGTTACCCAATATCTCACTGGAGCAATAATTAAAACAGAATATATTTTAAATATAAGATATATACACACTTTGTAGTATGTCTTGGCATTGTTGAATAAGAGCTGAAAATCAGCTGTGAGCAGCTCAACATCATCATACTCCTCCATCTTCAGCTTCTGCTGGATTTTCATCATGTCAATGGGCTGAGACACCACCTCATAGTAATCCGGCTGGTTCCTGTAGAGAAGCATTATCTGTGTTCTCCATTATAGAGTTTTGGTTTAAGTTTTAGTTGACAGTAAGCTGTCAAACTGCATAAATGGTTAAGGGCCAATGTGTGACTGACCTTCTCTTTGGTGCTCTGATGAAGAGTTCACACAGCATCCTGCCCTGATCGTCCTTATAGTCTCTGATAGTGTTGTACAACTCGTGACACACGGCAATCTGTAAGGAAAAACTTACCGAATGACACACTAGAACAAGTAACATCTGCAGTTTTCTTAAAACAGAGTGTGAAGTAATTTGATCTGTGAGAGCAGGAACAGGAGAGCCATGACATAACTTAAATTTCTGCATAAAACACGAGGAAAAATGAGTCAATATGCAGTTATTAATGTCAGAGACACTAAATGCATGAACTCAATTGAACTCACGGGGTCAACAGTAGGGATGTTTGGGGTTCTTCTCCTCTTCCGACTGGTTGAAGGTATGGATGTGGTCTGGCTGTCCTCAAAATCTCCTCCGCTCACACTGCTGGATGGAGAAGTGGCTCTCCGTCGCTTTGAGCCCATTGTAAAAGCCCTTCATATAGAATAAACGTATAATAATTCAACAAAATACAAAATAAAATTATTACATTTTAAATTGGTTAATGCAACAATCCTTTTCGGCTGAAGGCCTGCTACTAAACTATGTTTTGTACCCTTAATACTGACAACCTCCATAATGGCACAGGTGGTAGAGAGAAAGCTGCATCACAATCAACGTTCATCGCACGTAGCTTTTCTACAGGCTGAGGGAAATACTAACGTAGAAGGTGCACAGTGTCATATAAACAAATACTAAACACCATCATGGTAACACACAACACTAAAACAATGCATGATACATGAATTAAACAACATGTGTTGTAACATTAAAAACCTAATATACATAACTGAAAACATAAACTATTACCACAATTATTGAAATCAAATTCAGTCAAATTTGAGCTGTCGCAGGGAATTCTGGGAATATCAGTGCTTGACTTTTTCACTGTAAATTATGAGATGACGTGTTCTTTTTCACTTCCACAAACTGTGAGGTTAGGGGGAAGCCGTGGCCTAAAGGTTAGAGAGTCGGACTCATAACCCAAAGGTTGTGGGTTTGAGTCTCGTACCGGCAGGGATTGTAGGTGGGGGGAGTGAATGTACAGCGCTCTCTCCCATCTTCAATACCACGACTGAGGTGCCCTTGAGCAAGGCACCAAACCCCCAACTGCATAAATGGCTGCCCACTGCTCCGGGTGTGTGTGTGTGTTCACGGTGTGTGTGTGTGTGCACTGTGTGTGTGTGTGTGTGTGCACTGCTGTGTGTGTGCACTTTGGATGGGTTAAATGCAGAGCACTAATTCTTAGTATGGGTCACCATACTTGGCCACATGTCACTCACTTAGATCTATTCTAGTTTTTCACTGTATACAGTAAGGGAACTTCGTGTTAACCAATTACCTTTTTTTTACAGTCTTTTACAATTCTATCATTATTTTACAGTGTACAGTTACAGATACAATTGTGGTAATCTCAGCCAATACTGTTAGCTAAGATCAACTATGATTTCTAAATAGTTCATAATAGTAACAATTATTATAGTAACTGATATTTAGGTTGAAACTATCACGGGTAAACCGATACAAACACATGTTCAAATTATTAATTTTTAACATAATCATTAACTAATGTATTATTGTTGCCTTTGTCATGAATTAACAGTAAGCTTGTTATTAAGCTCCTACAGTACAGTAATACTTTTTATTACTATTTACCAGCATCATTATTATTATGCCTAGACACCTATTTACCAGTGTCGTTTTGCGTAAACCGATACAAACACATGTTCAAATTATTAATTTTTAACATAATCATTAACTAATGTATTATTGTTGCCTTTGTCATGAATTAACAGTAAGCTTGTTAAGAGTAATCCTACAGTACAGTAATACTTTTTATTACTATTTACCAGCATCATTATTATTATGCCTAGACACCTATTTACCAGTGTCGTTTTGACCAAAATGTGCTATGGTAGCTATAGTTCCCCTAAAAACAATAATTACTCCAATTATTATACGTAAACAAAACAAAACCACTGGTTACATGCCATGGTCACAAAACAACTAATAAAAATGAAATAAACCAAATTCTAGAAATATTCTGAAAGCTTCCAACACTGATGTAAAGACATTTCTGATCGTTATAACTACGAATATTAGAGGAAATGCTTAGGGTCCAACAGGAAATCATTTTCAAAATCAAGTAAATACATATTTTATATACAATGGTGTATTAGCAGTAACTTAGCAGTAATCCTGTTAGAGTAATACTATAGTAAGTACGCTAATGCTTGTTAATGCCAGCTTACTAACAGCATTAGTGGTATAACTAAATATTCAAGATATCCACTTTTGAAAGCATGTACAGTTATGAGGCACTGCGCGGACCTATGATCAGCTGCATGTATTATCATGATGACTGATAACCACTGCACTTCAACAGTGTTTGCTGGGTTCAGAGTGTCTGCAGGAATCAGTGGTTTGCAGGGCGATGATGATGAAGGTGGGACCGCTATGTGTTTGCAGACACAAGCTGTGTGACACATGCATCAGCACAGGCGGATAAAAACAAAGACACACACACACACACACACACACACGCACGCACGCGCTCACTGGGCCATGCAACACTCTGCGTGATGATGCTCGCGGTTTATTATATAGCATGAGCAGCAGACATTTCAGACAATACACAGAGCGCGCCAGCTGCAGGCCTTACCGTCCGTGTCTGGTCAGCTGTCTCTGAGAGCTGTCTGACGACAGACACACATTCAACACGGAGGCTGACTGATTTATTAAATAAAACCGAGATGACAAAAATTAACCCTTTACGGCGCGGAAGCGGAAGCGGAAGTGAGGAATAGAGACACGTGGTGCGCCGGGAGCGAGAGTGGAGCGCGTGCTAGAGCAGCGACAGACATGAAGAGACCTAGTGAGTATATAATCTCAAACAAATCTCATTATTTACACGCTTTGACCATACACACACAACGGAAATCATTATATTTTCCAATTGCTCGTTGTAAGGACGTAATAAACTATCAGAAGTAGTCAAACACACTGACAACAAAAAAAAAAACCCCCACGTGTCTGTTTTGTAGAGTTGAAGAAGGCGAGCAAACGCGTGTCATGCGCCAAACGCTTCAAAATACAAAAGAAGGTAAGAGGTTTGAACTGTTTATGCACAATATGTAAGTGAATAGAGGCTTTGTTTGCGACCTGGTTGTTGTTGTCGGCAAACTAGAGTTTAATATCACTAAGAAAGCATGGGTTTCCACGTTTAGCTAGTTAATACCAAATACCTAATGATATATATACATAGATATATGTGTGTGTGAGATATGTATTGTGTATCCAAGTTTCAATGTGATGCATTACCCTTTTCATACTGCTAAAAACTATTTTCAGCAACTAGGGGTCGACCGATATGTGTTTTTCAAGGCCGATGCCGATACCGATTATTACAGATCAAGTAGACCGATAACCGATATTTTGAACCGATATACATGTCTGGTGTAAAAATGAAAAATATTGTCAAAATTAAGAATAACAAGGGCTCTGAAAAAAACTGCCTTCCCTGGTGTTGGTTGAGTGTAGTACTCCCACAGTAAACTCTTTATTTTAAAGAGTTAAACCTTTATTTTTTGGCAAACAAAGGGTTTACCATTAAAATTAAAACATGGAAGAAATAGCGTATTGTGTGATTATTCTTTTAAACAAGTTGTAATAATTGTTGTAGTAGTCAGGGGTTAAAACAAAAATCTTTTGCCTGAATTTTTCCTCGGCCAAACCCCATTCCTCAGCCATACCTGTCACACACCCAGTTTAAGAGCGGTGTTTTTCTTCTTGTAATCAAGAGCACTTGTCCTCCTAATTAAAAAAAATTAAGGAGCACCTTCTGATCAATAATAAAAAATTTGCCTTCCTAATATGAGGTGAAGTGATTAACAGGGACATTTTCTTTTTACCTTTGCAATGGCATCATTTTCATCTGTAAAATTCAAAAATGTATGTTTATAAGCTTTTTAAAATTTCTATTTAAAACAATATAAGGTTACAATTTTTACTTGAAGGGGTGTGCATAAGACTGACATGACACACGTCATGAATATGAAGGTTTTTTTTATGCATGTTTATGACAACTGCCATTAAGTGTCATTCACTCAGTTATGTCATTTTTAATGCAAAGATGACATTGTTTGAGATGTCTTTGTTATGGGCTATGGTTAGGGGTAAGGGTAGGGGTAGGGTTAGGTAAGGGTTAGGTCAAATAATGTCACATTTGCATTAAAAATTACAACTGAGTGAATGACACTTAATGACAGTTGTCATAAACATGCATAATGCACATGTGTCATGTCATGATTATGAAGGTGTCATGTCAGTCTTATGCACACCCCTTCAAGTAAAGTGTTACCCAATATAATAAGAAGTAGAATAAGACAAATAAGTTACATGAGTGCAAATAAATTCATGTGGAGATTAATGTTTTAAATAAAATTGAATACATAAATATTAAATGATTTAAATAACTGAATAACTGCAAAAAAATGAAACTGAAATCACCAGCAGGTGGCGGCAAATCACGGATTTGATCACTGCATCATTCATTCAATTGATTCGTTTGAACGGCTAATTCATTCAGGAATGAAGCAAGTGACTGTATTTATGAATGGGTAATCATGAATCACTGACTCACTAGATTTGTTCAAAAACGCACTTTCATTCATGAATGAAACACCGCTGTGTTTGCTTTTAGAGATGTGAAGCGGCTGAGCTGTTACTTTATTTGGAACTATTTTCGTTGATGAAATAG